CATGTGGAAGGGGGGCTGGCTAGTAGTGTGACGACCACCCCCACCAGCAGAAGGAGCGGCTGCATGATAACTTCCACTGGACTCTCCTGTATCCGAATTTGTCGCTTCATCGGTGTGTAGTCTCAAGAGCACCGCCTGTTTTTATAGGCCGTGGCGCCGATTATGCGCATGCGCAGCGAGAGTCTACGGGCCGGGCGGCGCGTTTCCGCTTGGCCCGTCGATATCGATCCGCCGTCATGCTGTGTGCTCAGAGCTTGAGCCGAGACGGTGGCCATTCATCATCTACTATAAAATAATTCTTTGGCGCTTCATTTATTCGGCTACATGCCCTATTTTCCCGGGCCAGATTCTTTCGCCAAATCACTGGGCAACAATGCACAATGGCCGATTTGTCGGCCACCGGCTGGATGCGCGAGTCAGTGGCTCTGTCTGGGTTTTATGGCTAGAGCATCATAGCTATATACGCGTCAGTGCGCTGCGTAGGCATAGGCAACCACTGGGTCGTCGAACACCCCGGCCGCTATTATATCTGTGTTAATGTACCGTAATGATCGTTTGCTTAAAGCATAGTGGGGTTTGCCTAATTAGCTATATACGAGAGAAAGTTACATTTAGAAACAACCAAAGAAACAATAACAAGAAAACACAAAAAACAAAAGAAACACAGAAACAAAACGACTGGAAAAGAAAAGTATAACAAGAAAAACAAGAAACCTGCAGGGGGTAGCTAGGTGGCGAGCCCATAGACAGGCATTGCAAGCCAAGAGGCAGATGCAGAGTCTCTGAAACTACAAAGAGAAACCTACGACTGGAAAAGAAAAGTATAACAAGAAAAAACAAAAAACAAAAAACAAAAAACAAACGCAGAAACCAAAACCGTCCATCCACCTGCAGGGGGTAGCTAGGTGGCGAGCCCATAGACTGGCATTGCAAGCCAAGAGGCAAATGCAGAGTCTCTGAAACTACAAAGAGAAACCTACGACTGGAAAAGAAAAGTATAACAAGAAAAACCAAAAAACAAAAAACAAACACAGAAACCAAAACCGTCCATCCACCTGCAGGGGGGAGCTAGGGGACGAGCCCGTAGACTGGCATAGCCAGTCAAGAGGCAAATGCAGAGTCTCTGAAACTACAAAGAGAAACCTGCAACTGGAAAAGAAAAGCAATGAAAACAAAGACACACAAGAACAACAACAACAAAAAATCATTAAACCAATCTTTATGTTTCCTGTAGTGTGAGTGAGGGATATAGGCAGATGGCTCATAGGACCATGCCAACCACGCTATATATCAAGTCCAACATTACTCTGGACGCAAACTCACTGATATATATTATTATACTTATAATTATAGCTATATGGAGCGAGAAATGTAGTCTCGCAGACCAGACCCTCACGCAAGGGGAGAGGGTCCGGTATAATTATTTAACGCACGGAATTACAGCTGTATAGCTAATAATGTAAAATGCCATTTTAACTCCAGCAGCCCTTACGTAATCACGCATCATTGAAGCCACCCACACTTTTTAGCACAACACCCAGAGCTCTCTCCTTGCATGGGGGCTTGTGTGGTGTGCACACACACAACACGCACACACCAGGTTTACCCCTCTCTTTTATTTATAAGGCTCCTACTAAACTGGTGATCTTGTATGTATGCTTTGCATGGAAACAGAATCAAAGCAGTTTTGCATCTCACTCCATATTAGTATGTATTGTATTCCATGTAAGCCTGGGTTTGTTACTGGGCATTCTAGTAATGCAAATGTGGGGGGTCTTTCCTTGCACACATAGCTACAGGTATTCGGCATTAATATTCTCGTAATAGCTATAACCTCGCTACTGAATGATATTCTTGTGTGTGTGTGTGTGTGTGTGACACTTTACATTAATTGTGCACACTAATTGCTTTCCTTGTACACTTACATTTCTTTCCAGGTAACATGGTTGCTAAATATAATGCTTTTGTGTATGATGATTTGCTTCAGCTTCTGAGACTCCAATAGTACTGTTACTACTACTGTACTACACATTGTGGCCAGTTGTGTAAATAGAAGAATACGTAGAACCTCCGAACAAGGGACTGCACACGGTTTTGTCCCTTTCAGAGAGGTTGTCCCTATCCTAGAGGTCAAATAATGCACTTAAAGTGTTAGCTTGGGGTTGAAACAAGTGTCCTTTGTGGAGATGTCGTTGTCCCTATCTCAGAGGGTACCTTTATAGGGAGGTCGTCATTTGTGGGCAGTTGTGTAAACTGAAGAATAAACACACAAGGGATGGCCAATGATTTTGTCCCTTATAGAGAGGTGGTCCTTATCCCAGTGGTCACTTAAAAGTGTGTTTTAGCAGGCTTTGAAACAGTGTGCTTTGGGTACCTTAATCAAAAAGGTTTTTTCCCCAGACTGTAGTGTGGCGAGCAAAGGCGATCCCTACCCCTACCCCGGTCGTGTGTGAATGCGGGAATTTTCTGATGGACAGGGCACTGCACATACCATGATGTTGTAAACACACGCAAATGCGTTGCATTCCCCTAGTAATAGTAGTTGGGCACTGCGGTCTGCCCCCACAAGTTGCTTCATGCAGAACCTAGCAAAAGCACCAGGTTTTCATTCTACACGTCCTTTTGTTACTGAATCTTGAGTAAGTCCCCCGTTTACGTAATTGGGGAGAAAAGCGAGCGTATAATACCTAGTTATCTGACTTGTCTTATCATAATTATATATAGGTCCTCAATACATCATGCTTAACACTTAACAAGCCACAGACCCATAAATGTGTCCAGAGCCTCCATAAGTCCATAAGAAATTATATAGGTGGCGCTAATACTTTATACATCAATTTCTCAGATCCCATGGTGTCCAGATGGTTAAATATTTTGCACTCACATTCGCTCGCCAAAGATGCGTTGCATTCGTTCTAGTATAAAGAACGTGCCTTGTACACATATAGCTCATTGTGTTTGTTCACATAACTGAAAGAACTTCACTATTTGTCCACAATGAAAATATTTGCTCAAGGATGCATTCTGCTTCCATTCAATAGAAATCATAGTATAGCTATTGCGGTGGTAACATATCTTTTTTGCAATCCTGTAAAGTACTGAACACCTGTGTAGCTATCCACAATAGTTACACTATGATTGCTATGGAATAGAAGTAGCCAGCATCCTCGTGCAAAAATTTTCATTTTGGACACGTAATGAAGTTGTTTCTAGTTTTATGCGAACACAGTGAAGTGCACTGTGCAGAAGAATCTCGGCGCACTTGTGCCGTGGCTAATCAAAACCTTTTTCATAGCAACCTCCATGACTAAGTTTTCTTTGCAGTGAAGTATTTGGGGAACTACAGGGTTGAAGGGGTGTAATGGATGTAAGTGCTTTGTGAGCGGGTAGAGTTAACAAGATGAATAGTAATTGCAAGCTTTGAGGTTAATGATTGATCATTCCTTAATAGACACCGCACTATGCAAGGGAAACCAAGAAGTTGAGAGAGGGGAGGGGGGTGGTTGTTTGTGCATAACTAAAGAGCATCTTATGTCATCAAAACTAATGCTTACAATAATGTGGCTAAATGCAAAAATAACTGCAAGCTTACTTTCTTGGGAATTTGCTTCTGAAATTTTCCAAAAACAATTGGCTGTATTTGTGGATAGTTAACTTGTCTGAAGATGACTTGTGACTATATCATGGTTCCTCTGTTTCTGTCTGCATTGCTTGCTGCTCCATGTCTTGTGAGGTGCTCTGACGACTATCGTCCTCCTCTCTTTGTGTTCATTGACCCTCTCAATGGAGAGGACAACAACGAATGCCTGGACTCAAATTCATCTTCAACACCCTGCAAGACTCTGCCATTTGTGGCTGGAAATTTGACCAGGAGGAAATCAGTCAACATTGAAATACAATGTGAGGAATTGATATTGACAAAATCGGCTGATTTTGAAGGATACACTAATTTGGCTCTCACTGGAGGAAGGACTATTATGTCTATTCGATGCAGTCAGTCTGGTGTTGGACTAGCATTCACATTGATTAAGAATCTCACTCTATTGTCTATCAGAGTAGAGAGATGTGGAACACTGAGGCCGAGTACGAGTCCCAGTTCTGATGACCCACAGAAGACCCTGTTTCTCGGTGTTGCTGTATACATTCTCAACTGCACCAATGTAAGTATTAGCAGCATGGATGTACAGTCATCGAATGGCACAGGGCTTTCTATTTACGACACAGTCGGAACAGTGTCTATTAAAAACTGTACATTTAGTAAGAATAAAGTCAGTGCGTCCCAGCAGGGAGGAGGTGGACTTCATTTAGAGTTCACAATCTGCACTCCAGGATTAGGAAACTGCTCAGGTGGTCATCATGGAAGAAACAAGGACAGCTTGTATCTCATTGAGAATTGCACCTTCCGTGACAACATTGCCAACTGCCCATTTGACAAGCATGAATTCATATCACCAACATACACGCCTCTGGTTCCACGTACTGGTAAAGGTGGAGGGGTTTATGTCAGCATTGGGTCTGATGCAACTAACAATAATATCTCCATTACAAACACCCAGCTTCAAAGAAACATAGCAATTTTGAATTCTGGAGGAATGCTGGTGGAGTTACTCAATTCCGCTACCAACAACACCATCACAGTATCAGAAGTTAGTTTCAAGGAAAACCATTGTGGGGATCCAAACATGAAGTACTGTGCTGGCGGAGGACTCGTCATTGGATATATATTATACAAAGAAACACGTGTGAGTGGACCTGCTTGGGGTAATACCTTTCTGTGCAACTTTTGCACCTTTGAGGGAAACGTGGCATATATTGGAGGAGGAACAGGTGTACTAGTTGCAAAGCAGAGGGAATGGAGTGACCCCTCAGCTATTACCTTCTCCAGCTCCCAGTGGAGGAACAACACAGCTCCCACGGGAGCTGCTGTTTACGTTGCACCCGACACATGGGACTATGCAAGTCAAGGATTCTTGTTGTCTCCACTCTTTATAAACTGCTCTTTTCTGAATAACTCTGCCTTGTACCTCTACTCCCAAAACAATAATGGCCTAAACCTATCTTCCCCAGGATATGGAGCTGTTTTTAGTACAGAGCTTCAACTGCATTTTGAAGGGGAGACTTCTTTTGTGGATAACAAAGGCTCAGGGCTCTATTTGCCTAATAGCATTGTCAGGTTTGGTGAAGGATCACATGTTAAATTTGTGAGCAATGTCGGGCACAACGGTGGTGCCATTGCAATGTACGGTCACTCTCTCATGCAAATTCACAACAACTGTCTGTTTATATTCTCTAAAAACACGGCTTACTCAATGGGTGGAGCAATATACAGCGATGTTACAGTAGCACTGCAGCCAGCACATCAAACCTGCTTCATTCAACCTTCACCAACAGCAGGTCTCAGATACAAGGCAAACTCAACACTGTGCTTTGAATACAACAGTGCTGGTCTGAATGGACACGCCATTTATACGACATCATTTATATCCTGCAGTACGTTGTGTAAACAAAGCACTTTCCAGCCTGCAAATATACTAAACTGCGTTGCTGACTTTGTTTTTCTTGGCAACGGAACCTCCCTCCTTGCTTCTCATCCTAAATATTACGTTCTTGAATCTCTGGTGTACATTAGACCGGGCTCCGAGTATTACCTCCCCCTCCATGCCATGGATGAAGCCAATAATACGCCTTCTGGAATAGTTTACCATGCATCAATGGATCCACAATCAACTAACATCACCATAGATTTGGCATTTACTCAGGTTTCAAACAAAATTATAAAGCTTCATGGAGATATCGGTGATATGGGAAACTTGCACTTAAGCAACTCTGACACCATTTTGTCTCTGGACGTAACTCTAGCTGAGTGCCAACCTGGGTACATCCTGGACAGTCGTAACGGCACGTGCAAATGTAGGGCACCTGACTATTTAGGCTTAGTACCTACTTGTGGTGTAACTGTGTACCTGAAGCATGGATACTGGATGGGTTACTGCTCCGAAAACAGCACTGAACTGTGCACTACTTACTGTCCTTATGGGTTCTGCTCTTACCATCAGATGGACGCGACAGCAAACATTCATCCTCTACCAATCAACAGCCAACAGCTGGAGACTCAGCTGTGTGGGCCTAACAGACGTGGTGCAGTGTGCAGTCTCTGTGCTGGTAATAACAGCGTGTACTTTCACTCGCTGAAGTACAGATGTGGACATGAAAAATTCTGTCGTTTTGGTTG